ATTTTTCCCCTCCCTCCCCGCTCCCCCCTCCCGCATGAGCCCTTGATAGTTTATAAATGGGGATTTTGTCATATCTTGCCCTGTCCGACGTCTCCCTTCTTCTATTCATTCTTAAAATCATGTATGCTAGCTCCACCTTGGTTCTATTATTCACAGTTGTTTTTGCTGTGCCAGTTCCTTTACATTTCCTTATGAATTTTGAATCCGTTTATTAATTTCTACACAAAAAAATATAAGGTAGGAATTTTATTGAGATTATTTTGGATCTACATATCAACATCTTAACAATTTTCAGCCTTCCAACTAAGAAAAGGGTATGCCTCTCCATTTACATTAACATCTTTAATTTTCCTAACCAATATTTTATAGTTCTTAATGTACAGTTCTTTCATCTCACATGTCAAATGTATTCTTTGTTGTGCTTTAATTTTATGCCAGTATAAATGGTATTTCAATTCATTTTATGTTTATTCATTGCTAGAATGTGGAAATACTCTTGATTTTTCTATACTGTTCTTCCCAAACCATGCTAAGCTTCACTTAGTAATTTCAGTAGCATTTTTGTGGATTCTGCTAGATTTTCTGCATAGCAAATAATGTCAGCTGCTTTATTATTATTATTATTATTATTATTATTTGCTTTGTAATTTTTCCTTTCTAATCTAAAACTCACAGCCCTCGAGTCAGCTCTGACTCACAGTGACCCTAGGTGGAGTTTCCAGGACTGCAGATCTTTCCTGGGGCAGACAGCTGATGCCACCAACTTTGTGGTGAGCAGCCCGATGCACAGTGCCACCACCATTCCTTCTTTTCTCATCTAGCTCTCTTTGACTTCCTTTCCTTCACGGATTCATCTCCAATAAGACAGTGCATAGGAATGGTGAGATGAGGCACCTTCGTGTTGTTTCTTGTTTTAAGGGAATTGCTTTAAGTGGTTCGCTATTAAATCGATCTTTCGTCTTGTTGTCTTGGGTGCTGTCATGTCCTTCCTTTGTCCTCAGCGCAACCCTGTGCGGCAAGCTGACCCAACCCAGAGAGTTCTCTAGACTGTCACCTGCTGGGCCCTTCCTGTCGTAGAGCCCCTGGGAAGGTTCAAACCACCAATCTTTTGGTTTTCAGACAAATGCTTGACCATTGCACCTCCAGGGATCTTTCAAGTATGTATAACCCTGGCTGTAGATTTCCGTACATGCTCCTGATCAAGTTTAGGTCGTTCCCTTTCTGTGGCTCCTTTCCTAAGAACATTTATCTGGAATAAATGTTGGATTTTCTCAAAGTTCTTTACGCATCTATTGAGCTACTCATATCGCTTTGGGGATGCTTTTTTTTATATATATAAAATTATAGTGAATGGTTTCCAAATTGTAAATCAACCCTGCATTCCTGAAATAAACCCCACAATGTAGTAGCCATTGGTTGAATTCAATTCACTGAGCATTGGTACTAAAAAGTTTTCTTTTTAAAGTGTTCAGGAAAGGAGTACTGATATAAAAATGAGGATACAACTCAGAAGAGTATCATCCAGGAAGACATCGTCCAGCCGATGGCCACCTTAAGGAAAGGCTTGCGGTGTGATGGTGGGAGCTTCACACATATCTGAAGGGATGGTGAGCCAAGCAGGAAAGACCACAGGCGCATAGCCCTGAGCAGAAATCAATTCCATAAAGAACAGCATGGAGGTTAGTGTTTCTGAGCCCAGAACCCCCGTGGAAAAGCAGCAGGAGAAAAGATAGGGCCATTGTACAGAGTTGGGTGTTTCACTGAGTAGATGGAAAAGCTGTACTAGAGTGCTTTGAGTTAAAAACTAACATGATGTACTTCAGTGTAAAGAATCGTTTGGACTACTGTGTTGAGTCTGAAATAGGTGGAGAGGATAAAAATGTAAGAAAACCAATTAAGACTGGTGATAGACATCTCAGTGAGGTATGATTATGACTTGTCCCAGAGTAATTAAAAACTATGCAGTCTGGATACAGGTTGGGGGCTTTGATAATGGATTGCGTGTCGGCGTGAAATGGAAGAGAGGAATCAGGTGTGACTCCCTGTCTTCTGCTTGGAACAAACAGCCTCATGTATGGAACACAGAGGGAGTCACAAACTTGGAGCAGGGAGTTCCATTTCGAATATGCTAACTTTAAGTTGCTAATGCACTGTCAGCACAGAGATGTTAGGGAGGAAGTAGTTATTTAATAAACAACATGCCCTGGCAGCCCGAAAAAGTGCTTGACTTGGGATAAGTTGTATAGTTCATAGAGAGATCCAGCCTTTAGTATTGCAAGCCCACTCTTGGATAGCTTTTGTTTAAAAACAAAAATAACTCAATGATATTTAGCACAATCTTCTTCAGCCAGCATTCAACAGAATTACTTTTTAAATTATGCACATAAGTCTTAGTGAATAAAAAACAGGGCAAAAGGAAATATGTGTAGACACTTTATTTTTAGAATGGGTAAGTATGACATAAAAATCTTCATCATTTTGTGAAGATTAACGGAAAACGTTCACACCCAACCATCAGATGTCATTTTGTCTTCTCCCTGTAATATAAACAAATATATATTAAATACAAATTAAATTAGTAGATGTCATTAGTAGCTGATTCTATTCTTTTATATCAGAGAAATGTTAGACACATAAGGGAACCTCCTTATGGCATTCTCTGAAACCTCCGACATAATCCGAAAGATATTGGAGATAGTTGAATCTTTAGGTTAACATTGTGGGCATGATTTTGTTCCAATATTTTTTAAAATAAACTTTTTTCTTAGATTGAAAAAGTTCAATCTAATTTTTAAGAAAAGCATTGAGTAGAAGCTTTTAGTAGGAACTCTCTATGGATTGGTATTTGGGGAGAATCAACATCTTTTCCAGCATATGTGAATTTCTTACCTGGAGTAACTTAAGCTCCCAAAGCAGCACGAGTTTTGGCGATCAGTTTGGGGCCCTAAAAAGTAAGGACAAATAAGAATGCTCAGACGAAGAAATGGAAGATAGTGTCAGTCAAGGCAGGAATGGATTCACAAGTCCGTAGAGAAGGTTAGTTAAAAATAAAGGTATACTTTGACTGACTCTCCACAAGAAATCAAGTGCTAAACATGTACCCCAAAGTTAATGAGAGAAGGTAAGCTGTGGACGAAGAAACGTTTGATTAATGGAAACAGAACCAGCAGAGTGGAAACGATGTGAATGCTGACTCATGGTGGAAAATGTAACCTAGGTCCTAAACAATACATAGAGAAAGTGTTAAGGGGGACCTAATTTGCTATATAAACGTTCACCCCCCAAAAACCAGTAGAATATAAAATATTTTTAAAGAGGCAGGCATCTCTGATGCCAGCCAGCCAGGCCAGTGGATGCCAAAAAGAAAAAGTTCATGCATATTAACAGCAAATTTTTGTGCTTCTTATACCAATTTCCAAGGAGCCATGGTGATGTAGCGGGTTACAAGTTAGGCTGATAACCACAAGGTCAACCGTTAGAAACTACCAGCCACTCCAAAGAAGAAAGATGAGGTTTACTGTTCCAGTGAAAGTTGACAGCCTCAGTGACCCATTGGGGCAGTGCTACTCTCTCTATAGACTCACTGTGAGTCAGATTCAGTGTGATGCAAGGAGATTGTTTTATACCAAGGCCCAAATTCTTTCCAACCCTAACTCCACCTTTTCCCTCCCTCCAAAAATCCACAAGTCATTAGACAATGAAGGGTTTGCAGAGCAAGGACTGCCACCATGTTACATGCTTTCTACATCTAAACAAAACCCAACTCAATAGCACTTAACAACAGCAACCATCTCAATCAATGTCTCCTCAAGTCAGAGCATAGTCCTCAGTTGGCATGAGATTTATTGGACATGGTTCGCATCAACTCCGTTTGATCAGTTTTGCTCTGTTGCCCTTGTTTTTTTGTGTCTCACCACCCCCCCCACCTCCAAGCCCACACACACACCAGCACATTTAATGACATCACTCATGGAGAAAACTCTACTTTTTGAAATGTTTTCTCTCTTTGGAGTTTATGTATATTAAAGCACACAAAGTTGCACACTTTGAGACAGGTAAAATGGCCAAAAAACTGAATTACGAATAACTTTTTAAAATATAGTAATGTTATCATCAAGTATACCTAGTAATACCAACCAAAGCTTTACAAAATGCAGCCAACTACAAATCTAGCAGAGAATACTAAAAAATTATGGTGTGGTAATGCTTAATTACTAACTGATTTACAAAAGTATCATACAAAATGCATTCAAAACCTTTGAAAGGGCAATGAATGTACAAATGTGCTTTACACAATTGATGTATGTATGGACTGTGATAAGTGTTGTACGAACTCCCGATAAAATGATTAAAAAAGAAAAGAAAGCAGAAAATATTAAAAATGGAGAACTTTTAAAAAAAACCTTCGAAAATATTTCTAGAAGTATTTTCCTAGTAATCATATTTGAAAGAAGTCCTGGTGGCAGAAGGAAAGCGTACTCGGTTGCAAACCTAGAGACTGGTGGTTCAGATCCAGTCACTCCTAGGGAGAAAATAGCTGTCAACCTGTTCCCAGGAAGATCACAGCCTAAGACCGGAAGGGACCGTTCTACCCTGCCAGTTGGATCACTATGCGTCAGACTCCACAGCACACAATAGCAATCCTGTTTGTAGAACCATTTCGCTGCTAAATCCTTTGACTCCTCTTAACTCACTTATACCATAAGCTGTACAAATTCTTACCAATTAATTGTGGATTTGCTTTGCAATACTCCAAAATAGAAAAACTATTTTTGAAAAACATTATATATCTTTTGAAATTCCTAATATTCAGCGAGAAAAATTGGTGATTAATTTTTAGATCTCACCACATTATTCTGTTTATCTCTAAAAGCAATTTGAGCCCCTCTGGTGTTATTTTAGAGTGGTAGGGTTACGGAATAACTTTGTCACCACACAGAACAGGCAGTTTCATAGCAGGTCCCGTGCGTGTGTCAAGTTGGGGCACACACCTCTTCCGCAAAGCAGACATCCTGGTCCTGGGCTTGGCAGCACGTCTCCAACAGGCCACAGAAGTCCGCAATGACCGCCTCGAGTTGTTCCTCTCTGATTTGTGGCATTTGCTTGACAAAGTTTATCAGAAACCTATGATTTAAAACACATCAAAATGTATAAGAAATCCATTAGGCAATGGATTTTGTGTGTGTATGTGTGTGAAGAATTTCTAATAAAGAACTTCCAGAGTCCTGTCAACCCATCACCCACTCCCTGACTTCAAGGCACCCCTTGCCTTCTACCTTCGACAGAAAGAATGAGGTCGGGAGCCTGCACAGCACTAGTCCACTAGCCTGGGCTGTGTGCAGGACAAATAAAGATCATTTCATAGTGTCTATAAATCTATACGTACTGAAAGTCTGTTTCTTACTTGCCAAGAGAATCTTTTTCTAGCGTCCCTTCTGAAGTCTGTAGTGTTTCCTAGGCCCCTGACCACTCCACAGAGTGGTCACACTCTGATTTGAATGCTGATAATCCTGATTGCTCCACTATTCAATCAATAATTTTCCATGTTGGGACTAATTCGAGCAGAGGAACAAGAAAGGCTTGCAGAGGGCATGGTATGCTTAAAACATGTCTCTTGTTTGAAATAAAAATGGAAGTTCAGTTTTCCAAAATGAGGGAAGGCCATGCAGCGCACTCCAGCATCAAAGTGCAGAGACGTTTGTAGAAGGTGAGCCCCACGGACTTCATCATGGCCGTTACTATACTTCTCCCTCAGAGAGGTACAACATACTTCACCTTGCACAATGTGGTCGAGCCACATTGTAGTTATTCTCGTCAAAGCATAAATAGTACAAAATAAAAGTTCACCAGTACCTTTCCAGGGCTTGGAATCAAAGTACTCAGACTTGATGCAAAAATATCTAGTATTTCTCAAATAGACGGCCCACATTCCCTCAACTCTGCAAGGCATCACAATAACAACAGCTGAAATTAATTTCTACACAGGAAATGATCTTCTCTGATGAATGTTTGCAGACCTCCTTCCCATCCAAGCTGTCAGGACCCTGAGCCAAACTACAGGCAGACCCTAGAGACACTTAATGCTGACTCTGCTCCAGGCCACTGCAGTAAGGTGAGTATCTCAATCTTCCAATCAAAGATTTGTGGTTTCCAGGACCTATAAAATGATGTTTACCAAAAAAAATGAGGAGCTGATACCAAGGCTCAAGTGGAAAGCAAATGTTTTGAGAATGATGAGGGCAGCAAATGTACAAATGTGCTTGACACAATGGATGTATAAATGGATTGTGATAAGAGTTATATGAGCCCCCAATAAAATGATTTTTAACTAACAATAAATAAGACCACAGAAAAGTGATGTTTACACTAGCACTAGTTATGTGCACACTTAGTGAATGTGCAAGACCATTATGAAAAGTGAGGACTACTGTCAGAATGACCGAACTGGCACACAGGGACATGATGGGAGCACATGCTATCGGTAAAGTGGTGCCAATAGATTTGCTCCACATAAGGTTGCTACTAGTCTTCAATTTGTAAAAACAAAATAAAACAAAACAAATCCTCTCAATCTTTGTGAAAAATAATAAAACAAAGCTCAACAACAAGAGGTGTGTGTGCATCTGTGATAATGGTAGAGTAGGGAGTCTACATCGCTACTGCTATTTAGTCTGGTTGGCCTCTCTGTGCTAGAAAACCACTTACTCTTGCTTCCTCATTTGCAGTGCTACACCCTGAGCTTGGCACAGATCCTTCTGGAAGTGGAACTTGGCAGCAGAGAACTCTGGAGGGACATAGGTTTCATCCACCAGCAAGTTGCTAAAGCAAGGTCTCCTGTTGGCATATGAAGATGCGCAGCACTGGCCAACGCCAGGGTTTACAGGACTTGTTTCATGCCTGATACATAATTGTCCAATAATCAGGTCAGCCTAGTTCGGAGGAGAAAGAAAAAAGGGAGGAGATTGGATGTTAGCCACAAAGTAGATCCGTGTTGCCAGAACACTACTGTAAAGTTTCCTAAAGTCCAGACATACATAGTTAACATGCCAGGAAAGTGTCCCGTCTTTGGGTAAGATCGTGTGATGTCACATTTTAGATTCTAATGTTCACCTCTTCTTTGTGCTACACCTCAGTATTGACTGACAGATGTCCCATTGATGTCATTTAACTGCCATTTGTGTTTCATTAGATGCATGCTTTCAGTTATATATATCTCCAATGGAATTGAAAAATATAGAAGAGTCTGCTTTGAAACGAGAAAGCCAATAGCTGGTTTCCTTTCCACATAACTCTACAAATACTCCTAATTATCTAATATGAATGGAAGAGAAATGGAGCCAAAGCCAATATGTGCCTTTCCGCAGCCAAGGCTTTTCCAATGGAGGCTCCTCTTATCTTCCACACTTGAGGAAGCTTGCTTTAGCGCCTAGTAATAATTTGGAAATCCTGGGTGTGTAAAGGAGCCCTGGTGGCATGACAAGTTAGGTTTAGGGCTGCTACCTACAAGGTTGATGGTTCAAATCCATCAGCAGCTTTGAGGGAGGAAGATGAAGCTGTCTGCTCCCATCAAGATACACAGTCTTGGAAACTCTGCATAGGCTCACTGTGAGTCAGAATCGACTCAGTGGCAGTGGTTTCTGAATTATATAAATGGTTAACATGTTCATTGCTTTAAAAAAAAAAGGTTGGAGGTTTGAGTCTCCTCAAAAATGCTTCCGAAGAAAAATCTGGCTTTTGAAAAATAAGCCACTAAAAGCTCTATGGAGCACAACCCTAACCATCCCGAGGTCACCGCGAGTCACAATCAGCTGAATGTCATCTGCTTCATTAATAATTGTAATAACACAAATGCCGTATATACATTACACACTGGGCTGCTAACTACAAGGTCAGCAGTTCAAACTCACCAGAAATTCCTCAGCAGAAAGATTTGCAGCTTCAGAAACCCACAGGGGGCAGTTCTACTGCGTCCCATCGGGTTGTTGTGAGTCGGACTAGAACTATAGTGAGTTTGGCTTTAGTCTGATATGTACCTTGCTCTTACTAAATGCCTCATGTGCATTGTGACACAGCCATCCGGTCAGTCCCAAATTTCAAATGGAAAGGCTCAAGCTTAGTGAAGTAAATCACTTGCATTGTGTAACATGACTAGGAAGTATTAAAATGAAATGGAAATGTACCGGAGACCTACAGCACCTAACTCCTCAGCTATTGCCCCATCCAGATTCCTCCAGATCCTCCAGTGCATAGAATTCAATAAACAGCAAAGATGATGTTTAGTTACAGGAAACTCTCCTTTCACTCCTACCTTGGATGGAAATTCCCAAGACATAACCAGGAAAAATCCCGTCATCGTAAAGGACAAAAGCAAATACACAGATACACAATTTTGTCCACAATTCTGACTTAAAGGGGAAAAGTAATTCTATAAATTATTCATATAATCACATATAGGACACTGGTGAATTAGCAATTATGATTCTGTCATAGCTAATTGGAATGTCAAATTTATCTAGCATATAGGACTTAGAAAGAGAAATATACAAAATGGATGACTGACAAAAAGATCCAATTGTCAATAATAATACAATAAACACAAGGTCATATGTCCTATATAAATTAAGCCACAAAAGGCAAAAATACAAATCCAGCTGAAAATAAGACAGCTGCTTTTAGTCTATCAAAGGCGAAGTTCTTGGTTTGTTTCTACGAACAGTAAACTATTTAGGGGACCACAAAAAGAAAATCCTGAGCCGAGTAATGTCTTTGGCCATCCCCTCTTTCCCGCTGAATCACTTGCTCAGATATTGCTGACTACACTGCCTGGTGTCTAGACACCACCCTAAGAGGGCAGAAAGCCTGGCCACATGCCATCATGCAGAGCCGAGTTCTCACGCTCCCTTCACCTGAATGATATGGAACAAGTCCAGCAAGGCCACCTCCACAATGGTGTTTACCATTTCCCCTAAATGGGAATAAAAAGGTGAACCAGAGCCAAACTGGGTCGAAATGAGATGGAACTAAAGACGTGTACTCACTGCGTTTTCACCACAGGCCAGCTGTTTGTCCTCGCCGAGCTGGCAGCAAGAAGCCCCAGTGGCTGCCATTGTCCTGGTGATGGCTATCAGCTCCGGTGTGGTCAACTGAGGGGCTTTCTTGGTGTAAGCAACGAGAAGCCTGAAAGAAGCAGTGCCCACCGATTTGGTGCATCGTTCAAGAGAGTCGGACTCCTTCCCAAGGACCCTCCATCCCAGCTACTCCTGGTAGCAGAAGACCTCGTGTTGGTTCGTTTGCTTCATACAGAACCGGTGTGGGTCAACTTTGGAAATGAATTTACTCAAGCAACTGCTTCATATACTTCTGCTTTAGCCACATATCATACTGGAAAAAGAAACTCTCCTAAAAAGACCCCAACTTTAAAAGGCTTTAGCGATTTTCAGTTTTACCGTTGGGAATTTTAACTAGGAAACAAGGGATCATGCTCCTCTAAGAATTTATGCCGCAAGGACCGCGCAGACTCCCAAGGCCAATCTAGCTGCCCCTCAATGATGGAGCCGGGGAAAGCTGCCCGCTGCACAGAGATCTGACCAATCACACCCTGCTTACTGACCCCAACTGAAAGCAGGACTGGAGTTGCTATTTAAGAAGTCATGTCTTGCACTGACATGAAAAAATAATAATAATTTATAAATTATCAAGGGTTCATGGGGGAGGGAGGGTGGGGGTGGAGAAATGAGTTGCTAATACCAAGGGCTCAAGTAGAAAGAAAGTGTTTTGAAAATGCTGATAGCAACAAATATAAAAATGTGCTTGGTACAATAAATGGGTGTATGGATTGTGATGAGATGTCTGAGCCCCCAATAAAATGATATTTTTTAAAAGTCATGTCATCCCCGCACAGAAGGGTCACAAGGAAGGGACAAGCCAGCTAGGGTGCAGTATAGCACCTACAAAACGTACAACATTCATCTGGTTCTTTAATGCTTCCTCCCCCACCCCCACTATCATGATACCAGTTCTATCTTACAAATTTGGTTAGACCAGAGGATATATACTGGTACAGATAAGAGTTCTCAACACACAGAATCCAGGACAGATAAACTCCTTAGGACCAGTAATGAGAGTAGTGATACCATGAGGGTAGAGGGAAGGTGGGGAGGACAAAGGGGAACCGATCGCAATGATCGCCATACAACCTCACCCCCTCCCACCCCGGGAGATGAACAACAGAAATGTGGGTGAAGGGAGACAATGGATGGTGTAAAATGTGAAAATAAAAATAATTCATAAATTATCAAGGGTGCACAAAGGTGGGAAGGCAGGGGAGGAAGGGGAAAAAAGAGGAGCTGATACCAAGGGCTCAAGTAGAAAGAAAATGCTTTGGAAATGATGATGGCAACAAATGTACAAATGTGCTTGCTACAATTGGTGTATTGATTGTTATAAGAGCTGTAATAGCCCCCAATAAAATGATTTATCAAAAAAAAAAAAGATGAGTTGCTAACTTAGATTTCTATTTCCTTCAAATATAAAAGATTATATTTCTTTTAAGTTTCTATTCATTTTAAATCACTAAAAATAAAGTTTATAAAAACATACGCATTTTGAAAATAATATTCTCCTAATTTCTGGAAGAGACCACAGCTTCGCTTTGCCAATGCCCGGCTCTCCTGGATGTATTTCTCTAATTCTTCTTCCTGGAAATGCAAGCAATAGATATATTTCACGCCCTTACGGTACAACTTTGTATCCAAACACTAACCAATAATATTTTATTCTATTATGAAACCAATCTTGGAGATCCTTTTTATATGACAGAAAGTAAGGTAGGTGTTTTGATAAGCAAGTAGCCTTTTAGGAGATGGAGTTTAAAACTTTGTAGACCATAAAAAAATTATTTGATGATAGAATTCACTCTTTGGGTAAAACGTTACAGTTCTTTGGAGAACTGTTGAAACACTGACATTATCTTTTTTTGTGTACCAAAGAACTCTTGGTTAACTTACTTATTTTTAAGGCTACTAATTATTCTCAGTAGGGAAGTGATTGGGGGGCTACTCCCTGGAGAAGGACTTGGTGGAGGGTCAGCGGACAAGAGGAAGCGCCTCCAGGAGATGGATTGACCCAGGACGGACAGATTCCACCCTGCTGCGCCTGGGACCCCTAGGAGCTGGAACCAACTCAACAGCAGCAGACATTATTAGTAATTAGTCAATAGGTTTAGCCAGCTAATTACTAAATACTCTCAAACAAGCACAGTTTTTCTAATGGTGATTTCAACCCAGGGTTTCAGATTCTTCTTAAAATTCTGGAACCACTTACGCCTTTATCCTGGCATTCAAGACGGTTTTCAGCCTGGGAGCACTTCTCCAATAATTCCTGGTATCCTTTGGCTACTCTCAGAATCACTGGGACCGCAAGCTCGGGATGGCGTCTTGAATATTCATGAGTGAAACTAAAATGTGGGGAGGAAATGTGATAAGTTACTGGAGCTAAGAGACCAAATGAAATATAAGACCCATTGCTTCTCTAATGACTCCTGCATAATACAGCGTGTCAATGTTGACATTTAAACAACTAAACCTAGAAATCAACTATGATTTGGCCTATAATATTGACAACACTATAAACACAAACTACAACCCATCAGATTGTTCTATGAAATGGTATTTTATTCTCTCGTGTACCTCTCTCTGATTTTGGTTTTTCTATTGTGGGTTTCACATCCTAATTTATGGGGTATATTATTTTTCAGTACATTCCCCTGCTAATACTGCTTTAAGGAGTCAGAGATGTGCACAATAACATTACCACCCTCTAAAGCACACATTAAAAATTGGCATTAGGTATTCATGAAGGTTGCACAGCATAATTGATCAACTGGTTTTATAGAATTATACACAAACTAAACCCACTCCCATGGAGTCCGTTCCAACTCATAGGGACCCTACAGGACAGGGGAGACGGCTCCACACGTTTTCCAAAGAAGAACTCTTTGTGGAAGAAGGCAGCCACACCTTTCTTCCACAACAAGGAGGCCCAAAACCAAAGTCATGGCCATCGAGTCCGTGCTGACTCATAGTGACCCCCCACTGGGTTTCTGGGACTCCTTAACAATTTAAGAAACTAGAAAGCCCAATTTTTGTCCCACAGAGTTCAGGGGGGGTTTCAAACTGCTGACCATGAGAATTGGAGGCCATAACTAAGACACTACCAGGGAACAGATAAACAAGAAATCAGTCATCTCACTGCATCTAATTGTAGTGACAAATCTGTAAACAAAACATAAAGAAGCAGGGCAGAGGGAAGAGTGACACACAAGGTGGCAAGGTCACTCACGTAGAACATGTGGTCAAGAAAAGCCTGTCTGAGCACCTGACAACTGAACAGAGACCTGGATGATGGAAACCAGGCAAATCACGGGGAAGACCATTCTCAACCGAGAAAAGTGCTACTGCAAAAGCCTCTCCACTGGAAATACGACTTCCATTAGGCAAACACTGAGCTGTCGATGTGGTATAACTGTGCAAACTTAAAGATAATTCCTGAATTTACTAATTGTATTCCCAGGCTTTAAAAACTTGTTAGTACAGTCTTTAGTCTGCCTCCAAAAATTTGCCAATATGTGATGTTTATATGTAGACTTTGTTATTGTTTCCATAATTTTATTCAGCAGCATGAACAATTGGCCAGTGTCTAATTCTAAGGTAACAGTAGAGCACCCTAAGGGGATAGTAAAAAGAAAATTGAGCCATCATTCTCAACACTGCGTTAGAATCCTAGACTCAAATGCAGGGAGATCATTCTGTATAATAGTGCCCATGAAAATATACTGTACGGGAAAGGGAAATATGCTTGAATGCATGCTTCCCTTCCAGTCAAATAAAATGAGAGCAGGGCTTATTAACCATGTTCTGACAAACTACTGTACTTCAAATGCCTCTAAACATGCTTTGGCTGTCTTTCAAAAATAAAAGATACACTCAATACATGGCAAATAAGCTTTTACAATGAAAGCCCTCTTGCTTTGGAACTGCTTCTTGAATATTTTCCTTTTACAAAAAATTTAGAACCTGCTTCGAAGTAGAATAGTTGTCTTCGTATGAGAAACTCTAACAGGCATGGCAATGATTCTGATTCCAGGGGAGTTGATATAAAATAAAACACAATTTCCTGAGCAGGTCATTTAATGATTGAAATGGTGAAAGTCTTCCCAGAGCAAGCTGGATGGAACCCAATCCTTATCGCCTGAATGGTCTGCTTTCATACACTTTGGCTGAGAAGATTCCAACTCCACCCTCTTACTCGGAGCTCAACATCCAGCACCATTCCAACAACTCCCCATCAACACCATACAGCCCCCAGGCACCAGGCGCTCTTCCTTAATGTGAGCCTCCATTTAGAGGGCGGTTACCTTGCCAGGAAGATATCTTTTTCCTTTAAAGCAAACTGCTTGAAATCTCTGTCTCCTAAAAACCTGCTGAGATTTGGAGATAGGCCCTCGGGTTGGTCATCGTTTTCTGCCCGAATGATGCAGTATGCTAGTTCAAGTGGGGGCAATTTGCAGCATTCTGCTATTTTGTTGGACAGATTCTCTTGTTGAGAGCAGATGTAGGACATCATTGCTTGCTGTAAGAGAGGTGAAACAAGGCAGTGTTCAGTTTTGAAATCTCTTATTTAATAAGGAAACTTGAGCAGGAAAGCAGTTAAAGGAGGATAATTATACAGCTCTTGGTTGAATTATATGGTATGTGGATGATGTGCTAATAAAATTGATTACAAAAAGAGCTGAGGGAGATAGTTAAGGAGGGGTGGTGGAAGGAAAGAAGGAAATGAGAAGAATAAGAAGGGAAGAGGAAAGGAGGAGAGAGTAGAACGGTGTGCCTTCCCATTTTGCATATCTTCACTCTTTTCCAAATCACACCTCACATTCAGTTCTTCTCTCAGTTCTCAACTAAACCCCACAACTTTATTTTCACAGGAAACACTGAAAACAGAAGAGAAATGCTCCTCAAATCAAAACACATCCTGATCTCTGTGTATTATTCTATTCGGATTCAAACTTGCTGCCACGGAGAAGAACTGCTCCACGGCCTTTCCAACGTCTTAAATGTCCAGGGAACAGACAGCCTCTCCTGTCTCCCTCCCAGCCAGCTGGTGTGTTCAAATTACTAACCTTGTGGTTAGCAACCCAAAGCTGAATGCACTACACCACCCGAACTTACTACTAGAAGATATAAGCAGCAGGCTGCAGTGACTCACTCTAGCCTCCAGAGGGTAGTATGCAGAAAATGAAATGGCAGAGTGCCTACTGTTTTGTGAAGAGATTGTTTAAATATTCCTGTTATGGGATTGAAAATTCTGCACATTCTAACCAGGGACAAGTAGAACCCATTATTTAATCATTAACATACAGCTTAAATACCATACTGAAATTAATTAATGTTTCCGTTTTAAGGAAAAAAGGGGACTATGGGCTCCAAAAATTGAAAAATAAGGGGGTGAAAAACATTTTTTGCACGTCAGGAGCACTGGTGGCCAATTTGGGAACTCCACAGGGATAGCTCTATCCTGTCCTATAGGGTTGCTGTGAGTAGGAATCCACCAGATGGCAGTGAGTTTGTTTATGTGAGTCAGTAAAATTGTCAGCTTAAAAAAAAAAAGAAAAGAAAATCGACCTGAAGGAAACACAAACTGTTTCTTCTTGATGCTTCTGATGAGCATGGAGATATCTATGTCCGGGAGGAAAAGTCACAACAATAATAAGGGAAGTCATGAAGTCTGTTTCTAAGGTGGCCTCCTTTCAGTCCACCTTCCCCAAGCCTATGTGCCTGTGTCGGGGCTTATAGTTATAGCCTGTGTCCCCCTGACGCTTCCCCCGTGTTGACTTCCAAGACTGTCCCAGCCAAATGGCAACGGAAGGGCGCTGACACAAGCACTGCCTCTTCACATGCCCAGCCTTCTGGAAACAACTACCAGCCTTGGTCTCCAAACCTATTGCAACAACTGAGCGCAACGGTTGTAAGTCTCCTGTGAAACAGCAAATGTCCTTGGAACAGGACAGAGGTCCCTCTTGTACAACGTCCAGTAAGTCTAGGACTCATCCACAATACATCCAGGCCATAATGATTAAGTCGCTAAGGTGCATGACCTGCTCTATCAATCTATCGTTCTGCTTAGGTTGTTTCTTAGTTGTCTTTGTGTGTGTAGAGGGGATTCAGACTCACGGTGGCGCTCTCGTGCACAGGGCGGAACTGCTCCAGTGAATTGTCAGGCCAGGACTATTTTTTGAGGCATTGGTGGATAAGTTCGAACCACCAAACACTTGGCTAGTAGTCAAGCAGTTAACCATGGGTGCTTCCCGGGGACTTTCCTTCCTCCTAACCCCACTTTCATTTTGCCTTCTCAGTAGGTTCTTTACACCTTTCTTTGCATGCCTCACTGTTTACCTTGCAGAACCGTTTCTGGTGTTACACATGTCTTATTTGTTCACTTAGCGGCTGTAAAAGAGTGGCATCCAGGTCCACGGCATTGGGTTAGCAGCCTCTTAAGATCGCAGTAAACAAAGGACAGTGCCCAACCCCAGCTTCCATCCTGTGATGCGCTAAGTGGCCTTGAGTTGGAGCTGATGGACAGCAACCAAGTGACCGGAGGGGGAGGCCACAGGTCTTAGGTGTTTTATCAGACTTCCATTCCAAGACCTCCACTGCTATCTTCATAACAAGCATTTCCAACAGTGGCTAGCACACACAGAAATACTCGATATATGTTTCAAGTAAACAAATTAGTTATATTAAAAACAAATAGATCCTACACACACACCCCTCTCCTCCTCGCAGATCTTCTGCCTAGTCTTCTATTGTTAGAAGGAAGAAATGGCTGGAGCCCTGACCTTCCAAAAAGAGGTCTTCTCGGAAGGGAAAGGATGCTTTCAGCTGTACTCTTTAACAAAAGATGTTTTAAGCTGTGCTCTTAGGAAGTCGGTTACTAACTAGCTAGTTACTCTCCTTGCACACACACCCTGTGATCAACTAATCAGGCAGCCTTCACCCCTTGAGATAAGAGAAATAGAAAAGTTGCCAAGGAGATTCCAGGGAGCGGAAGCAGATCATAATTAGGAAGCAAGACTCCTCACCCCATCCTGCAGACACTCCAGTACATTTCCTCTGCAGCATTCCTTATGTATGTGGACCCCGTCCAGGACCAGCTTCTGAATTTCCGTAAAATTTGCTTTGGGAAACTTTTGAGTCAGTTTGGAAACAGTTCTGGGGGAAGCAGGGGGAAAAAAGTAATAAGGCCTGGGATCAGAAACTAATCTTGTTTTTCTCTCAAAGTGAGAGGACAACTCTAAAGGGTTAGTATCGCTGCAAGCAGTTCTGATTGTGCAGCTAGCTAAGCATTGGGCTGCTACCTGAAAGATCAGAGGTTTGAACCCACTAGCCACTGCAAGTAAGACAGATGAGGTTGTCTGCTTCTGTAACGATTTACAACTTCAGAAGCAGTTCTACTCTGTTAACGAGCACCCTGAGTCTAAATCGACTCAACATACTGAGTTTTGTTTGAGTTTAACTGCAGCTCAAAGGTGTGGATGTGTGTGTGTGTGTGTGTGAGAGAGAGAGAGAGAGAGAGAGAGAGAGCATTGATCATATCATGTGTGAATGGCACATTCATCCTGCAACATCCTGAGTGCTTAATAAATGTTAGCCACATGTATGTATCTTGTGCATTCCTGAATCTCTTATATTATTTTTCTCAGGCAATTTTCTGAACAGGAAGCACCATACATAGAAAAAGAATGAAAACGTACATGGCTTGGAAGGTCCGAGGTTCAAAATTTCTCATTACTGCACAAACATGCTGGTTTAACAAGTTGTTTTCCCTTAATTCTTTTGTAATTGACGCTGCCTGGATATAGAAGAAAGAAAGGTTTTAATAATTAAAAGACCAAAGGTACACATACAAAACAAAGTTGGATAGAACATTATTTTATGATAAATTATAAATCTAATATATATTTTTAGTTTTTATTCAAGTAGGCTAGGCTGATTTATT